AGGCTGGTCAACTCGCGATCGGCTACGAGGGTCCCGGGTACCTCCTCGCGCGCGCGGTTGGAGTGTCCAACGTCAAACTAACGTCGGCCGTCCAGAGCTATAGCGTGGCCTGCCCGACCGACGCAGCGCAGCTCGCGCGCGTGACAGGGCAGTTGCGACGCCTTGGGCGCGCGGTCGAGGGATCGCCCGGCAATCTCGCCCCAGCGGTCAGCTCGGCCAAACGGCAGAGCGCCCTCGCGGGCGCGCCTAAGCAAGATCGGGCCTGGGGTGTCCATGGCATTGCGGCCGGATCGAGATGGGGCGGCCCTGGCCCATCTGCGCCGGGGGCGGCGCCGAGCCCACCTGCGCCAGCGCCGCCGGCACAGGAGGCATTCCCAGCGGCAGGCGCCCATCCCGGCACCGACGCCGACGCCATCGGCTCACTCGGCGAAGCGCCGACGACCCCGAACTGCGCGACGCCCCCGTGGAACAGCGCGGCGCGCGATCGTTCCAGGCTCGCGGGCGCGCCAAAGCACGCTGGCGACGCCTCAGCGACCGCGGGCCCGCGCACCGCGCCCCGGAGGCTTCGGGCGGAAACGCGAGGGCCGCGGCAAAGGCTACTGCGCCTTCTTGGCCGACTTGTCCGAAAATGAGCCCGAGAGACCATCGCGGTTTTCGTTCGGGGCCAAGGCGGAAGGGGGGGGGGTGATTCGGGGCCGGCGGCGCGGGCTCGGGCCGACGCGGCAACCTGCTGGGCCGCGACGGGGCGCGTCTCGAATGCAGCGAGTGCGAGTCAGAGGAGCGCCTCGTGCGCGACCGCCCCCGGCGCTGCAGCGAAGGGCGCGCTCTCTCCCTCGACGCCCGCGCCCCGTTGCCAGCGCCCGCGCCGCTCGCGCGCCTCGGGCAGCCAGGGCCGCCCAGCCTAGCTGAGCGGCGGCCCTTGACGGGCGCGCGCGCCGGGGGCGCCGCCAGAACTGCGCAGTCTATGACTGCGGGCCCGGGCGAAGGTGGCCCCGCGCAGAGCGCCGCCCCCTGGCGCGGCGGCCAGCCAGCGCCGGCGCCGGCAGCGACGCGGCCGCAGGCAGCAGCCGCTACTCCAAGTTCATCGCCCGACGGCCCGCGACAGCAGGTTGGGCGCAGCCAGCGGTCGCGATTGGCCAGGGCAGCGTCGTCTTCGCCGCCGTCGCCCCGCCCGCGCGACGCCGAATTGCGACGACTGCGACGGGGGGTGGCCGACCTCGCGGGCCGCTCGCGAGCTTCTGTTCATCCATCCAGTCCCGCGACTGCGTCGCAGGTCTTTACGGCGACAGCGGAGGGGCCAGCGTTTGTTGCTCTTGTTGCGCCGATAGCTCCATCAGCATCACTGACGCCACCGCAGTGGGCGCGAGTTGACGGCGCGCCCCCTTTGGGACAGGCCCGGGGGCGCGATTGGTTGGGCGGCCTCAGCGCGCGAGCCGCCGCTCCTGCGCCGCCGGCTGCCGGCGTGCAGTTGCCGAGCTGGACATGCGCGCCATCGGCGGCCTCGCTCAGCGCCGGCGCGCCGTGCGGATCGAGCTCCACGACGTGGCCACCGCAATCGGGCCGCCGCCCACGTCGCCGCCAGTGCCGGAGTCGCCCTGCGGGCTGGCTCTGTTCATCTCAGGCAGGCCAGTAGACGTGAGCCAACCGTCGGGGAGAATGGCCACGTGGTTCGCTGGCCGCGAGACATGGATGTCCGGCGGCGGCCGCTTCGACCGCAGCGCGCGCTCGCCTCGCGGCCGCGCCCAGGGACGGCGCCTCGACGAGCCCCGCAGCACGCGAGTAGCGCTGGAGCTAGTGCGACAGCCAAAGAGCAGCAGCGCCGAGCCGCGCGGAGCTGGACATAAACCTCTATCAATATTATTCCAGTGCCGGCTGCAGCGCCCGCTGCGCCTCCCCCAGTTGCTGTCCTCGCTGGCGACGACAGGGGGTGTTCCATCTGTCTCGAGGCCCTCGCGCGCTGCGAGAGCATGGCGCGACGGCAGTGCGGGCGCATTCTGCGCCGCGCATGCCATCTACAACCCATGCGGAACACCGACGCCAGTGCGGTCCACTGCCCGACGCGCCGCGGACCGGCCGACGTCTTCTCCGACCACCGCGTCGCGGGTGCAGGTCGCGCGGCCGCGAGTCCAACGCCGGCGGCGCTGGCTCCCGCAGCGCCAGTGGGGGGCGCGTCGGAGGAGACATCACGACGGGACGCCGCGTAGTCTTCTCGGCCGGCCCCGGCCCCCGGGGCACCGCGGCCGAATGTCGCGCGACCCCTGGGCGACGGTGCTCAAATTCAGCGACGCGCCATGCTACCTGGCAAGCACTTCGCGATCAGGTGGCCGATGAGGCGCCATTGTCGACACCGGCGCCTGGACCAATCTCTGGGGCACGCGATTCACCCAGGGCATGGCCTGGAGAGCCCAGCAGGCGAAACGGCAGACCCCAGGAGAAGTTGTTAACTCCACTGCGCGCGGCAGGAGTAGGCAACGGGTCACAGGTAGCGAATTGGGAGATTTATAATCCCATCGAAACGACATTACACGATGGCGTGACCAGTCAGCACAGCATGTGCGCTTTGGCCGGCGAGGGCGACGGCGCTGCCCTTTCCGCCCTGTTAGGTTTGCGACGCATGCAGCCCAACAAAGTAAACCACATACCTCCCATCTGCCCTGGGCCAGGCGGCCACGATCACCTGGGGCCCCAGCGCCATCCACTTTGACCTGGAGTCGGTGCCGAGTGGGCACTCGTGCATTCCAGTCGACGTCTTCGGCAAGGTCCAGCCGCGCCCCGTGGGCCACGAGCTCGCGCTGCTGGCGGTTGGCAACGACAGCCAAGATCACCAGGACGCCGACGGACGAGAATTCAACAAGCCAAAGAACCAGCTTCCCAGTCCGAATGCGAGAGCACCTCCTCGCGGCACCACTGGCTCAATTGGCTGCGACTTCTACGCTTGTTCCGACGCCGGCGTCGCGAGCAATGGTCGGGAATTGGTGCCCG